ACACACACACACACACACACACACACACACACACACACACACACACATTCACAAACATTCTCATACCAGTGGGTGATATAGGAGAGACAGCCTCTCTTTAGTGATGAACATACCTAAAAGAGAGGTCAAGGGGAGGGACCCTGAGTGACTCATCCATCCCTTAATCATGGTCCATTACAGCTTAAACACTCATTGGAATTTGAAGACAAAAAATAAATTCAGTTTGGCTTGTTTCTTCTACATTATGTTTGATATCTGAGCTAGAAGCATATCTCTGGTATAATCTTCACTGAGTGGAAATGACTAGCCATTATCCTAAAGTTCTGTTTGTGGTCATTGAGTTTAGGCTCTCTTTAACAGCTCAAAAAACGTACACTGTTGTTACCTTCATACTACATACTACATACCTACAACTAAGTAACTAAGGTAAGAGTTAAACCAGGATAAAACAGTACAATAGATGAAATGAAAAAAAACAGTCGATATGATAAAAATAAAATAATAAATAAATAAAATAAAATAATTTAGTCAAATAATTTAGTAAAATCAACAAAATAAAACAGTAAAGCGACGACATCACATAAAAGCCAGTCTGTAGAAATGTGTTTTAAGAAGTGATTTCAAAGAGATAACTGATTCTGCGAGCCTTCTCTCCTCGGGCAGGTCGTTCCAAAGCCGAGGGGCCCCGATCACCTTTCGTTTTCAGCCTCGACTTTGGAACAGCCAGAAGGGCCCCGCCTGAGGATCTAAGGCTGCGAGCTGGCTCATAGGGGGTCAACATTTCCTCTATATATGTTGGGGCCAGACCCATACGTGCTTTAAAAGTGATCTTAAAATCAGCTCTAAAACGAAAAGGGAGCCAGTGAAGAGAAGCCAGGATTGGGGTGATGTTGTCTGTTAAATATATAATATATATATATATAAAAGGTAACAGATCAGGGAGGCTGCAATATGCTCAGTCAACCTACCCTTTAGAAGTGAAGGTTAGAGCAACCATGTCAGTTTTTCCATGGCGGTTAGACTTGTAAAACACATCCCATTTGATAATACCGACATCCAAACATCAGCCTCATTATTCTGCTTTCAGGCTCTGTGAGTGAGATTGAATCACTCTTTTGACGTTTTTCCCAAAAGGCTTGCTTAACTGTCCAATAGCGCAACCATGATCTGTTAATAACATGTTTTATCAAGCTGCTCATATATTTTGACAACCTTGCTTACTCCATCCAAGCACAATCCAAACTATCTAACATCAATATTGCCTCAGCGGGCTGCAAGTCAAACATGCATTCAGAGTCAACAGTGCACATGACCACAGGAATGGAAACCTGTCAAGAGAGTAGCATTAGTCAACAGAGAAAACAGGAACATATGAATAACTCCCAAAGAAAGACTGAAGTCACCTTAACCTGCAACCTCATGTCCCTCTGGCTAGATGGCATAATTATCCATCAGTTGCTCTGGCCTTCTGCAGGGTGAGTTCTCTCATTTAATATGGGAACACACAGGCCTCGAACTATCTGACCCATTACTCAGCCAGCGTGGACAGACCACACGCCCATGTCTCTTGTACAGTAGAGCTCTTTTTTTCGGAGACAGAGAATTAGGAGCTAAAGTGGGTCATATCCTTGTTTCTAATGACTCCCTGTTTGACAAGAGCAGCCTTATGCTTTAATGAGCCTCAGTCCTGCATGGGGCAAACTGCATTTTTCTAATGTGGATCTCAGACTGCTGAGGGTTTAAGAACCTGGAGAAGGTTAAAAAGTATTTTAAAAGTGTCTCTGGGAAGTAAGTGCCTTTCTGTAAGCACTTTAGCGTTTTTGATGTGCAGACAAAAAAACGTTAATGAATGATGATGTGAGTTAAGAGGCTTCTTGGATTTGATAATGACATTGGAACAATTTGTTTTACTTGCATGCATTGCATTTTCTTTCCCCAGTAGTGAAAGTCAGGCTTTCATTTGCAGTATGATGGACTGGCAAAGGGTCATGTTTCATATTTGTAACTTTATCATGTTGATTACTTTTTTTACATCCATATGGCATGAATTAATGCCAATTTAATCTTCTTGCACAATAGATAAATATAGTTCAGTTTATAAATGTACCAGGAGACAACAGGTCTTCATAGAGGAAAGGTCTGTCTTAAAACAAGACATGCCCATAAGTACAATGGAACTGTTTTTCATTGCTGTATTAGTCATAGCGTTTTAAGTATCCTCTTTGTATTTTTTCAATTTAGTGATAAAACACTGTCATTTTGGATATTATCCTCTTGATTTGTCAAATTCAAACTGCACAACCCTCATATCAGCTTTATATATATATATATATATTTCTTAATTTTTTTACTAGAAACTTGAAACAATTAACTATCCTTCAGATAAAGTGAGGTATGGACTCTAAGCAGGTATCCGAAGTACTCATATTTTAAAACACTCACCTTATGATTCACCTGCACAATAACTTTATCATAGATCTGTGCTGTACGAGTGTGTGGCGATATATTGTATTCCTATAATGATGTTCTTAAAGTATTGCAAATAATAATACCGTTAACTGTAGTATAGCACACAACACTGCAGTATTGTGTCACCATGAAGATAAGAGCTTTGCTGTCTACTGTTCCATGTATGAAGAACTCTAAGAAAATGGTGAGTAAGAAAATAGTATCTTCATCATTTAGCTGTATTTTAATATGAACAAGGAAATGTTCTGCAGCCACATGGACAAAGGAGACAGGGAAATAAAGAGACCGTCAAACTGTGGAGTACTCAAACTATAGCACAGAGTTTATTGGGACTTGAAGGACACAGTGGGTTTGGCTTTCACATGCACTCAGCATCACATTAAGAATCCCTCATCGACCCTCTCCTCTCAATCCCTCCAAAATTGTGTATGTCTGTGTGTATTTGTGTTGACGCGTTCCCCAGCAAAACAAACATGACAGTCAGAGAATAAACAAAGTCCTGATGTCTGTGTGGGCATTGTCTGGGAGATCATGCTAACAAGGAGGCACTTCAGTCTCATTCAGAGTCTCTTTTTTTCCATATCAAGTATGCAGAAAAGAGAAGAAAAAAAAAAAAAGGCTGCTTGCTTGAGATCTGCAAGGACGATTAAAATGACTGCATGGACCAGCTCTCACTACGTCATAAAAGGAAAATATCACATTCTTAAAACAAGCAGAAGAGAGTGAGCTCTTCCTCTCTTTCAATTGGTTGTGCTGCTGCGAGAAGGCCACTTCTTTGTGTGGTGTCTGCGGGATCCTCTGGCGTCTTCCTCTGCTCTGACATGGATGAACTGGACCGATTAAAATAAAATTCTGATGAGATAAACCTTTTACGTAGTCGTTTATACCCTGATTATTACGGTTGGGCACAAACAAAAGATAGGCCTTATACATTTGTGAGGCTTTTTTTAAGAGCATGTTAAGTGTAAAGGAGCCAAATATAAAAACCTGTACATGTGACAACAATGGCGATGCAGCTATATGACTTAAATGGAAAAAAACTCATATGAGAGAGCAAGAACACTTTCGATTCAGACGCAGTAAACAAGCGGTGTTTTACAATATCAGTATAATAATGTGCCCTAATGATCAGAGGTAAAAACAAGTTAATTTGGAGAAGAAAGAGCATGGCAGCTTTAATTGTGCAACTTGTCAGGCTGAGTGCATGTGTTCCTCTCCACTCCATGGGGGACTGTGCAGAAAAATTGAGCAAAAAAAAAAAAAAGATTCAAGATTTCTGTTTCTGTACAGCATATTCATTTGTTTCCACATAATGCCAAATATAAAGTGACACTGAACCGATGGAGACGTCTGCGTGTCGTACGGTGTACGATGGTAACATCAGTGGAATGAGGTATGCAGAAGCGAAAAGGATCTGTCCATACTTACACTTGTCCATGCAATGAAAACACAACACGATTCTCACAATTCTGTCTTTGTATGTCTATCTGATTGTGTATGTATGTACTGCATGTATTAAGCGATATGATAAGTCTGTCGGCTCATATTTAGAGAAAGTGTATAAAACGGGTCACATGTTCTAATCCTCCTGTGGTTCTAAGTGACGTCTGAAAACCTTGAAAAAACAATAAATCAACATGACAACAGTATCACAAAACTAAACTGTAATCTTTGGCCTGAGCGTACGCAAGGCAATGTACTTTATGTGTTGAGGTTGTTGAGGTGATGTGTTCTGAATGTTTAGGAGTGATATTTGAGGTACAGTATGGGAGGTGGAAATGCAGAGAAAGAAATAAGTTACAGTAAGAGTTGTATAGACATGAAGCACAGAGGGGTGTAGATAGATGGAGAGATACAAGGTACAGGCCAGAAAGTAAAGGACTGGAAATGAGTGAAAAATAAATTCCTTTTCTAGAAAAACAAAAAATTCACCAAGACCCCATCGTCTATTCCCTGTGGTGGTCTCTATTATACAGTGGATCCCCTGAATATTAGCTTGTTTTCTATCCTTTTTTGTTGTCATCAACGTCAGTGGCTCTGTTCTATAGTCCAACAATCCTGAGGGTAAGTAATGTTTGTCCGAATATTTCCAAACGTCTTTGCAACATTGACCATCCCACTACAAATGCCTGGGTTCTCCGGGCCTGGTCACCCCCCACCCCCCCCCCCCCCCCCCATGGCCTGAACATTTAGGCTTTTAGACAGTCTGTCTCCGGCTGCTGCTCAGGCCCCGGCTGTGGACCAATAAGCAGCGGGGAAGCCCCTCAGAGCTCCTTCCCTTTGTGTGTGTGGGGCTCCCACACTGTCACTGTGCCACTAGGGGGCAGAGTTGGACATGGAGTCCACAGAGTTTACGCTGGAAGACTGCACACGACTGTGGGAAATGGACACCTCCGGGTGCTGCGTAGAAAGAGAAAGATAGATTTGTGTCAGCTAGTTTGTAAGTATTTATCAATATGTGTGTGTGTGTGTGTGTGTGTGTGTGTGTGTGTGTGTGTGTGTGTGTGTGTGTGTGTGTGTGTGTGTGTGTGTGTTCACTCACATGCCTCCTGAAGATCCTGTCCAGCAGGCTGCGTCTGGGCGGCTCTGGTGGCTGATTCCAGTCCAGATCTGGAGGTCTCGTCCCTTGAGGCCCAAACACATTCAAATCTCTGAAACACTCAGTTTCAATCATCTGAATAAGAGGAGAGAAAAAGACAGGAAAGAGAATATGTGTTGTACTTTGTTAAGTGAGGTCTTCCAGCAGTTACACAAACTGCACCGAGCATTTAAAGAAATCATATTAACACACTTACCTCATTCTGCCATGGGATGGAAACACTGCCTGTCGTAAATTTGGAGTAGAAGTCATTGTCAGTTTGGTCCAAATTTACTCCCTTGACTGTGGAGAACTGCTCTATGTCCAAAACATCCTTACAGTACACTGCCCGAGGCTGGGAAAGGGCAATGACCATGAACAAGATGAGGGTTGAGAGGAAAAACAGAAGACAAGTTTATCTAAAAAGATAATTTACAATCGTGGAATTTTACTTGCTTTTGTGGCCACTTCGGACCATTTAAGGTCCTAACAAAATACAGAAAAAGTAGCGTTTCAGAATATGTTTTGTGGGCAGAGAGCTCTATTTAAACATGCAGTATGTACTGTATTATACTCACATCAGGCACAAAGGGGGGCTCCACTATTCCTGCCTCCAGCCTCTTGAAGTTGATCTTTTTGAAGAACGAGTGGGCCTTCACACCCGCCGCAACGTCCGCCAGACACCCCAGCCTCTGCTTAGGGTCTTTGGTCAGCAGCTGAGTGAGCAGAAGCAAAGATGAATAATTAAATTAATCATCATTCATCCGTCTCTCCATACAAACATTTTTTGCGTCAACGCTTACCATTCTACAGATGGCCTTTGTGTCGTCTGTAAACTTGTCGTTATACTCCTCCTCCTCTTCCTGCACCCTCCTCTCCACCTCCTCCCGTTTCACTCGTTCTTTGCGGGCGCGGAAGGGCGATCGCCCGGCGGTCATCTCGTAAACAAGACAGCCCAGCCCCCACCAATCAGGACTCATGCCGTACTTTTCATTGTTTATCACCTCCGGAGCTGCAGAGGAGGGGAAATAGGTTGTTATGGTTTAAAGTTGGTAATTACTCAGGTAAATGTACTCACGGAAATGTTGATTACAGTATTTCTTACCCATGTAGCCCACAGTCCCCACCCTGCCTCTGATGAGTTCTCCCTCAGGCACTTTGATGGCCAGCCCCAGGTCAGAAATACGAATGTGTCCTGCAGCATAACAGTGGTGAGCATGATGCATTTCATTTATTCAAAGTTCAGTGGATTATAAAGCCTGCATGTGGTTTGAAATTGTCTTGCACAGTAAAAAATGCTGTGCTATGCAGTAACCAGTAATATAAACTGAAACTCACCATTGTCATCTAATAGGATATTCTCCGGTTTCAAATCCCTGCAAATAACACAGCATTTGTTAAAGGACAAAAGTATTAATTCACATGTTATAATCTATAGCATTTAAAAACTTGATGCAGGAAAGTTTTAAATTAATTCAAAAAAAAAAAAATTGAGCTGAACTACATTTCAGAATGCATTTAAGACCGTGTAACATATAGAGTGCTACCTATAGACGATGAATTCCTTGTGCAAATGATCCAGTCCACAGCAGATTTGTGCGGCGTAAAACTGGACCCTGTCTTTCTCGAAGCCCGGCGTGCCCATGTTGTAGGTGTGAAACTTCAGGTCTCCGCCGTTCATGATGGTCAGCACCAGACACAGAGCGTCTTTGGTCTCGTATGCGTACGCTAAGCTCACCTAGAAGAGAAGTGTTTTCTTGTATGTGTTAAATGGTATGCAAACAGGCATGCAGATAACCTTCAAACCCTTCTTTTACATTTTCTACTCACAACAAATCTACTGTTGACTTTCTCTAAAATCTGCTTCTCGTTGAGAGCCATGGACTCCCCTTTCCTCTTCTTTATCCTCTTCTTTTCCAGCTTCTTGCAGGCATACATCTTCCCTGTAGCTCTAACCTGGCAGGCACACACCTGAGGCGAAAAAAACAAAATGCTACGTATCTCTCACATTGCTGTCATTCAAAATCACAATACTTTAAGCATCATCATCCATATTTATTACAATCATCATCATCATCATCGTTTCTTACCTCTCCGAATCCCCCCTTCCCCAGCACTCTGTACTGTCTGAATGTGTCTTTAGTGATTGGTTGCCTGACAGAACACAGACACAGCAAAATCCATTAATAGATGCTCATATAGTATCGATTAGGACAGAGATGTTATCAACGGAACTCAATACCATCCTGAGTCTGTTTCCTGTGCAGAGGGTGGGGCCTCTTGTAAGCAATTTCACTTTCCAGACACGGATACAATCAGGGCTGCTCTAAAAGCCTGTTGTTTACTTCTAACTGCCTTTGATATGCACTCTGCATCAAATATTTTCCTGCCAAGAGTCATCATACTCCTCTAAAGAGTCTTTGAAGGGAAGCGTGACTTTATCCAAGTCAAGTTTCTTCACCTGCCATTTGCTTTGTTCTTCAAACTGATATGATGTCGTGGGAAATCACATCTGACAAGAGTTATTTCATGTGTTTGAATCAAAGTTGCAATGCAACAAAGTAAACTTCAGCAATAAACATTTTAATTCAATTTACATACATCCGACAATTCCAACAAAAACATTAAACATTTTGTAAAGCTAAAATATGTGGCAGCACTGTTGTATTGAACTGCATTAGATGGTACAGGTGAACCCAATTAAGTGGCCACTGATTGTATATTCAGTTGTATAATAATAATTTAAAAAAACTAATTTACCTCTCCTATGTAAACAACTTATATTAGATAATTTGCGTACCACTCCAGCATCTTCCACTGCAGGAATCGGTCAAAGTGCATGCTGTTCTGGTAGTCCAAGAATGGAGCTGCACTCAGGTAGTCATGGACGGTCCTGGTCCCACACAAAACAGATACAACTGAGAATACAATGCATGCTATAAATCAGTCAGCAATATTTGTGCTGTTTGTTACAAACATTCTTTTCATGAGGTAAAAAAAAAAAGGCAGCGAGAGAACAGGTGAGAGTCCAACAAACAGGTGAGAGGGAATAACAACAGAGTGGCGACTCACTTGAGGCAGTTGCTGAAGATCTCCCTACATGGGCTGAGCTCGAGGTTCTCTCTGCACTGTTCTGCAAAAACCTCTGCTATGTCTACCCGCTGAGGTGACTACATCAACCAATGCACACACACACACACACGCACACACAGACATAGGTGCACACATACACAAATACATTACTTATTATTACACACACACTACATCAGACTTAGGAGAAACACACTTAACTTTTCGTAGAGTATCAGCACATCATGCACATGCGCGCTGTGCAAACAGTACATTTGTTTATTTTGTACATTTAATGTGTAAGTTGACTACTACGCCCTTTGTAAGCACCCTTGTGAGTGTTTTTATTCAACATTATTGTCTGTTTAAACAGCACTGTAAAATGCTACTAAATTCACTTTTACTACAAAATGTGAAAGAAAAAAAGATCGAAAAATGTATCAGATAAAGAAACTTACTTGTTTTGAGAGAAAAGTCTTGATGATCTGGTCCCCTCTGCATTTTCTCTTTTCATCAGGTGTCACCTCATAGTCTTCCTAAATAATAAAACAAGTCATATCATAAACATTATTCTACAGCGTTATAAATATCAACAGATTACATGAAAGCACTGAATTTATCAGAATCAGAATCAGCTTTATTGGCCATGGATGCGTACTTCATCTTGTGCGCGTCAAGACCCACGTGTCTTACAGAAGATGTAGTTGTGCATCCAAAATGGATTTATTAACAATGACCTGACATTTTTAACTACAGACTTGTTTCTAATTAGAAACCAATTTAACTTGTGAGATTATACATTAATGACTTAAATAACGTTTGTAACTGAAAAATTGATGAACTGATGACAAACTATCCCCATTCACCTTTATTTGTGATCAAGTGAAACATCAGCAAAAGGACTTTTTCACAACTTGCCAACCAAATTCTTTTTAATAATGGTTAATAACTAATCTATTAAGAATATCAACATAATACAAGCATTAGTTACAACATCATAAAGGGTGACTTAACAGAAAGTGGTACCTATTTGTGCTATATACATAAAAGTGACAATGAAAAAGAAAACCTTTGACGAAAACAATTCAGCTGAATTGGTTGTGTAACTTGTCAGATAGAGTAGCTGCTGTTTAGTGGTGACGAGGACACACACCTCTCACTCTGTATCTCTGTGTCGCTGTCACTCTCACATAAACATATGCCGCTCTTGGCTTCATGTTCAACATATGAAGCTGTTGACACAAACAGTTTTGGATGTTCCACGCTGGACATATTGGACTCTCTCGCAGAGGCGCTCTGACACATTTCGTAGCCAGCACTTTTAACTTCTCAAAAAAGGGGGGAAGCAACATGCTGCCTGTGCTGCACGCTGGCCTCGTTCTATCTGGGGCTTTTTTTCCCAACATGGTCCTGTGTCGCTTGGCAACCACACAGTAAACACGGCGGGATTCCTTGAGGTCCTGGAGTGTCACAGTGTGTCACACCAGCATCACCAGTTTTCCACTACAAAACACACACACACACACACACACACACACACACACACACACACACACACTTGTATATATTCAGTACATATACACATAAGCTTGGAGCTTTAGGAAAAACAGGCTTTAAAAAGCCACAGCGTCACTGACACTTCGGAACAAAGCCAAAAGAAGACCAGAAATAAATACATACTGCATATATACAAATGTAGCAAACGTATAGGACTATGAGAGACATAGAGAGAGACGGGGGGGACGGGGGGACGGGGTTGAACTGTGATTGCTGCCAAATGTTGATTAACTGAGGCTTTGTTATCAGAGGCTCCAGAGAAATAACACACTCACACACAGACACACACTCATACAGAGTAAATGAGCTGTCTGACTCCCACCCTTTGCCAGCGGGGGGTCAGCCAAATGGAAAAGAAGACGCCCCTTTAGCCTTTTGGAAGCAGAGGGGATCCAACATACGCACACATAAAATGCACATACACTTTCTCATGATGTAAGAGAAACCACTGGAACCCCCAAGCACATTCCTTCCTCTGTTACCCCCCCTCCCACACACAATCCCACTTCCTCCTAAACACTCGTGTTCATGCTTTCTCATGGCTTACACACTCCTGCTCTGTTTTTTATCATTTTTTGTGAGCACAGCTGGAATACAAAACAAACAAGAAAAAAACAACACAAAAGGACACCGGACATCCTAGGTAATAACAATAACCACAGTCATAATTACATAAAAAACAACCACAAATCATTTGTGGCTGCAGGGTCCCTTTTCTACACTAGCAAGACTAACGTTTTTGTGTCCTCACCATTCCAAACAAAACAGCCATTTCATTCTTATTGGCAAAAGCTAAGGAGCTTTTAATTTCAAAGATGGCCCAAAATATGTGAAGTTTACTGCATGACCAGACAGAATGTGTTAAATTACTGATCATAGACTTTGATTACAAACAGGTGAACCATCAGTGAAAAGTTGATTAACTTTTCGCTGGAATGATGGAGACTGTGTGACAGTTATGTATACTCTTCAAACAAACGTCCAAGACCTTGTTCTTTAGTGCTGCATGCAGCTTGTCCGCCTCCGCCTGCTTAAGTCCTGATGTGTTCAGCAGAGCTCTGTTGTGTAGGATCTGATAGAAAAGGGAGACTGCCCTGCGAATAACTGGTTCTAATATATTTATTGCCTCCGGGGACTCGGAGTTAAGCATATGCTTCCTGACATAGTCTGTACATTGTGAATATCTACAAAACTTGCAGGGATATTGTAAACAGCTCATAACTTTGCAAATGAGGCAAAGTTCCCCGTAATATTTCATAGTAGCTTACTGCCAACGACAAAGCAGTTACTGCACTGCACTGCACACACACACACACACACACACACACACACACACACACACACACACACACACACATAAATGTTTCTGTACATCTGACTGATGAAAAACTAACATACTGTTTTATAGATTCTGTAAATGTACGATGTCCAAATTACATAATAAAACAGTTTCTCGTAAACCTCATAGCTGAAGAGGAATCACATGTTAATCACATGAATCACTTCAAATAGCACCTGCCTGGTTGTAATCACCCTCGGGCCTGGTTTATAGCTAGCTTGTAGAGTGGTGAGTATAAAGCTCAACACTGAGTGTGGCCTCATGGATTGCAGAATTAACACCAGCATGTGTTTCGGATGAGTGCCTGTAAGTGGTTTCCCCCTCGCAGAGGGTGATGGTCATTTTTAGGGCTGTGTGGTTGAAGGGGGGGGGTTTGGAAGGGGTGGTGTGGGAAACAATGCTGTCCTTTCTGTCCTGTCACATGCCCGCAAAGATATTCTGGGCATAGATAAAGGGTTAAATGTGTCATATGGGAGCTATTCGTCTAGACGCAAAGAGAGAGAATGGTGTGGGGGGACAACAACCCGGGGGAGGGGGATTCCGGCTGGTTGAATAATCACTACTCAGTTTAATTGTCTCCTCTTGCTGCATGACCTAGCATCAAGGTACTTTCAGGCTAAGCTGTAATGAAAGTGATTGCACTGAAAAAGTGGATGGGGCTGTTTTCCACACTTGCAGTAATCCAGGAAAGAGTGCTGCTTTTCCCACTGCTTGACCATTCCTGTTTATCCCTTCCTTACACTTTTGCTCTTGTGTTTTTTGGTTTGGGAAAGGATACCAAGTAACATATCTGTTATTAGAACCCTTACGCGTTCCTTAACTGCAGAAATCCAAAGTTTCAGAGGCCTGCTGTTCCTAGTTAAAGCTAGAGTTAGTGAACGGTCAATTTGTGGTTAAATGCTATGAATACAGACACTTTGATGGTAATTATTAAAAGGAAAAAGAGAGTTGATTATTCACTTGCCCCATATTTTCCTGGGGATATTCCAGGATTCGTAATGGCAAACTTCTAGCGAAAAAACACCCACTCAAAGTGAGTGTGCGTGTGTGTGTGTGTGTATGTGTGTGTGTGTGTGGGTGGGTGTACCAATGCGTCCAGTAGTTGGATGCATCGTTGCAGTTTAGGTCTGGTCTCACAGTAAAGACGAAACAGTAGCCGTCCGATAGGCTGTTTCTCACAGATGCTGACATAGTCCCTTTCTGCAGGAAAAACAAAAAGTACACACACTTTAAAACGCTGCCTTTTGAAACATCAATAGGCACACACACTCTCTTCCGATGAAGGTGAGCACACAAACACCTACCAATGTCGTTTCCGTGCTCAGTGCACTGGCTTATATGGGGGAAGCGAAGGATCTCCTTCCATTTTTTGCTCCTACCCTTCCGCTTTCCTCCTCCACCTGTGGCGACAGAGAGACAACCAGAGATGAAAAAATTATACTGAAAGAACTTAATAAAGTTGTCAAAGTTTATTTTCATCAGCGAGGAGCAAATGAAGGCCGAGCGGCTAAAGAGAGTAGGAGAAGGGTGGGAGGGGGCTCTCCCCTGAATGAAATCATAGTCTCTATGTGTGTATATAATTCATAGATTATGTCTCACTTCCTCCGTAAATCACTCCTTACGCTCTGCTGACTTTCTTCCTGACTCAGTTTTTTTGTGGAACAGTGTGTGTGTGTGTGTGTTTATGTCCACACAGACAGAAAGCCTATTCTGAACAGCTCAGTTCCCATCAGAACCCGGGAATTTGCCAGACTGGATTCCACGGCTCTGAATAATCATGCATCAGCTTCCTGCAGCAACGTGTACAAAAGTCCCTTACGTCCACCTCCTAAAGGGAAGCTTTCCATGCAGTCATCCATTAATCCAATTCATCTTGCCTCTCACATTTGACCACCTCAACATTTCCCATGCAAACCATGGTATAATCACCTCTGCCTTTTCCTCTTTGATACTGTTTAAACACAACTGTGAGAACTTATTCCACTGTTGTCCATCCATTCCAGCTTGCTGTGCCTTACGTCATGTTTGTCTCAGTTTTATTTTTTTCTTAATATGCAAAGACTGCTCTAATGAACTGACAGGGATTTCCTTTAACCACTCTCTGCAGTGGAAATTGGCTGCAAGCGGCTGGCCTGATGTGAGAGGCAACATTGAGAGTATGAGAGCAGGAGAAGCATGTGACAAGCGGACATCTTTAGGTAATAACCCAGGAATGCAAGAGGCGTCATGCTGGAGCCTCTGAGGGAAAGCTTTCACAGGTTTTCTCATCAGTTCTTCTGCATTACTGCCTCATCTCTCCCTCCTCTGCTGTTTTAAATTAATCTCAAATAATCTGCGTTGCCTTTCCAATATTATATGATACACACACTTGGACTAAAACTCAAGGCATTTAAATTAAACTCAACAATGTGAAGATTAAAGACTCAAAATCTGCATCTTTTGCAAGCATTTCTTGTGGCCAACAGGTGGATAGTAACCATTTCAAATATAATGACTGTGCCACAACAGTCTCATGAACCTGAATGTCAGTTTACTTCTTCTTTCTATTTCCACTGAAGAAAAAGTTGAATTCCCACAAAATATCAGGAAAGATTCAACACAGGTTTTGGTCAACGATTGCAGCTTATGTTAGAGCAGACAAACACACTTTTAAATCATTCCTCACACTTTTGATCCATAAAATCCACAAAAAAAATGGGGTTTTGAAGCTTGTAGGAACCCTTATAATAACTTCAGGTAGGGTATGTTTTTAGATAAAGGACCCTGCGTCACCACAGCTGACACACAGAGTGCAGCCATATCACCACGGACAAACACGAAGCTTGAATTTATTAATAGCTCAAGTCAAAATATCCCCTAAGAGAATCATTAACTCCCAGCACCTGATCCTCATCACCATTACTGTGTAGACCAAACGAGCTAAAAACAGGCACACTTCCTTATTTACTAAGCACCAGTTCTTCTCTGAAAACAATTAATATGTAAAGTAATGCTCCGCGGCTAAACCTCAGCGCACTCTGCTGTGTTGCTGCGTGGTCCAATGTGTTAATCTATTTCAATAAAACCAAAAACGGACGTCTGCCGAAAAGCACAACAGGAGAGTCAGTGGAGAGGGTCATTCCCCATGGGGGCCACCATGCTAAAAATGAATGCTACTGTAAGGCATTTGTGGATAAAAGTGTCCACCAAATGGTAGAGATTTCCTCTGAAGGGTCAACGCTATGTCAAATAATTGTACCAAACATCTGCGCTCCACCCAGGCATTCAACTTCTACACAATGCCGAGACAACCACAAATAATCCTCGTTTTTCTTTCAGTGTCCGGTTTTCTTTCCTTCTCACTACTCTCCATATATATTTTCCATTTTGTTCTCCTCCTCATCTTCCCCTTCCTCGAACATTCAGCTCTTTTTCTGTTTCCTGTAATCCATCTTTTTGTTTTCCAGACTCTTTTGAGGATTTTCTGTCACCATAACTTCTACATCATCGCTGGCAGCCAATGGCTGACCTCATTTGCCGCTTCAGGCCTATCGATCCCCTTTGTTTTAGAGTTCGATAAGGTCGCAAGTTTACAGCTTTATGGGCATATAAACAGCACATCGTTGTAGATGAGGTTCCCTTCCCCTTTGGCCTTTTGAACACTGAAACAAAGGTATATTCTGATGGTCACAAATAGGGGTGATGAAATTATCCAGTAGTTCATTGAAAAAAGAGCAAACTAATGTTGAAGACTAAAAAAAGTTGATGTTGCAGGAACATATTTGTTTTCTGCACTCTTAGTGAAGATGTTTAATTAAGGAGCCAAATATAGCATATTCATAAAGGCAAATAAAACCTTGAATGTCTTTCTTCATCTTTTGTGAAAAAAGTGAGTTAGGGTGTGGGAAAGTTTTAGTGGAGATAAAAACATCCAATCTGCTTGTCAATCTCTTACCAGCTACCCTGTCAGCATGCAAAATTTGTTGAGCTGCAACAAACTATTTTACTCCAGGAAGGAACATGAGGAACAGCAGAGGCTTGTTTGATGCAAAGACCTGAACGTCTGTACGCAAACACAACCAACCGCTCCAACAAACATGCAAATATCGTACATAAATTATTCATCTCCACATAAGAGACTCATCCATCTGGATGTAACAAGCAATTTCCTGTCTTTTGACATCTCTGATGTACAACCGTGATCGGTTCACATGAGTTCAAATTCTGTGTTGCATTGTTGGTGGCCGTCAGCTGCTGTATATCTGCCTACTAAAAGGGAGATATTTTGGCAAGATTTAACAAACTAAGTCGGGGGGGGTCAAGTTTACAAAAAGGATTGTGAATATCAACATAAAAGAAAGCACAGTGATTTTAAAACCAGGGTATGAAGCTGCAGGAAAAACAAAGCTTCACCTGTAAGTGTTAGTTATCACTAACAAAACTGGGCTATTAAAAGTATGAATATGCTCCTAAATGTCGTCCATAAACCCTTTGTACTTGCTCCCTCATTTCTTTCTTTATCTATTAGACAGTTCTCACTCTTTCATCATGTGTCACTTACACATGAGTAGAAGTATGCACTGGGCCGTGGGTACCCTGCACACAGGAACTTGTCAGTCTAATTTGTTCCATGAGGGCAGTGTGGTCGCCTTTTATTTATGTTTCTGCTTAACAGTTCTGACATCATGAAGGCATGTCAAGTGAAGCAAAAATAAGGTCAGAGAGGGAACGACATCCGTCTGGCGCGACACCAGGGGGTTACCGGCATCCCAAACATCTGTGTTTGTGTGTGCTCACATTGTTTCCTCTGTGACCTCTCTCTAGTAATATACTCGTGCTCAATTTAACACTATCGGGCAGCTCTACAGGCCCCCATCCATCCTCACATTAAAAAACTTCCCTGCTTAACTGTCAGGTTATATTCATAAAGTGTTGAAACACAAAATAAACTAGGACATCAACCGGTGTGTATCTCTCTCTCTCTCTCTCACTCTCTCTCTCTCTCTCTCTCTCTCTCTTTTTCTCGCACACACACACACACGGTCTCTTTGGTTTCAAACACCTCCACTTTACACCGTTACTCCAGACATGCAGTCAGATCTGCTGTGGACAATAAGCCGAAACCACATCCTGAAGCTCACGCTGTGCATCTGGCATGTATGTAACAACAACATCTGCAACAGAGTGTGCTGGCAGGAGCACAGTGAATATGTGCTGTTCTCTACACCTACACTCTTCAGAAAGGGAGATTTTGGTAGATTTCTGTGACTCTACGCATGCATCACAAACAACGGATAATCTCTTTCTGATCATCGTTTATTCTCACCTCACCTCCTTTGTCTGATCTGTTAAATGTCGGCCTCGCGGTTGAGTCACACCATGGTGGTCAGCGAGGTACCAACACAGTGAAGCCAACCAGTACCAGACGATAATACAAATGCCTTTGTTCTCTCAAAGTCTCCCATTTCTTTCTCTCCCACAACGTTCAACTGTTCAATACAAGGACATTATTTGCATTGCAGGTAAGGGCGCGCGTGATATTGTGCATGCAAAACATTAATGGTAAATAAATACACAATAAGCAGACTATCAAGCAATTTAAGAGAAGTTTGCATTGGCACTCGCTGTTAAACATTTTCTTCCTGCTTCTCAGAGCTCGGAAGAGCAATTCTTAACAACATACGGTTTCGATTTATCGCAAGAAACATCTAGATGCCACTGTTTTAGATGTCCATCTCTTGCAAAAAAAGACAGGGATGGAGTTGCTTGAAATACAATCACACTCCTCCAGATTGTGCTTTTTGTGGGTTGTGCAGCAAGTCCCGTGTTTGCAGGTTACTATGTATACAATATGAGCAGGGATGTAGAGATAAATAAAGATGGAAGATAATCAACTAAACTCTAATATACATCTGTACAAGCTAATGCATTCCAGCCAACATCACGGCAATAAATCAATTGTAAAAACCTGTACAAGTTCAGGTTTTTCATTGATTCAACCCTGTAGTACATTATGAGGCCTTATTATTTAGTACCTTGATCTCTATATGTGGAAAACCTGTTGTTAAACAATTTAGGGTTAGCTCTCAGGTTTAGTTTAATAAGTGTGTGTTTGTGTGTGTGTGGTCTGTGTGTCACAGGAAGCTGAGGGAAACGCTGCCCAGACCTGAGCAGGAGGGGAGGACTATAGCAGGAAGAAGCTCTTTGTTGCCCTGCTCGCCATGATGTCATGCCGGTCCCGCTCTGTTCAGCCGCCTTATTATCCCCCTGAACGAGCCTCTCTGTCCACATATTCCTCATTATCGCAATAATAACAGCATAATCCCGGCTGTAACATCTGCTAGCACTCTCAAAACAAATATCTGTGACGTACACCTTTTACCTGGCAACACTTGACTATTCTTTTGGCTGCAGCGGGGGT